ACAATGTCTTTGTCTAATTGAGGGTGACCTTCAAGGGGATGAATCCCCATTTTCAGCTCCTATCCCAAAGAGCACTTTTCCCCTTGCATTATTGGTAACAGATTTCCCAGAAGCCCCCAGTGAACGAAGACCCGAATTCTCCCAAAGGAGACCTGTTTCCTGAGACTTCATTTATCTTGGCTTTGAACATTAATATTTTAGATGCATGGCACAGAGGACAGTTAAAAGGGAGCATTATTTGAATGGTCTCCCAGCACTCCAAAATATTTCCAAGGGCCATAGGTTAAGAAGTAATGGAAAAAGATGTCTTTGCATAGCTTGGGCTCCCTGATTAGCAAGCTAGGGGGGTGAGGATGTCCTAGCCCTGGGGGTGGGCTGAGTGGACTGTCCCAGAGAGGAACGCTGGGAACATAGAGTGGTACTGGGGACGTAGACCACAGTTCAACGATGTAGCTTGTGAATGGCGCGTGTTCACAGAAGGCCTTTCAAAGATGACGGCTGTGTAGGAGTGAAAAACCCTACAGGGCCCATAATAATGAAAGCTTTTAGTGTATATCCAAGACTGAGCCGGCAGAGGGGAGGGGGAGAGGGACCCAGGAGGAAGAGCAGTTAGAGAGAGATGGAACGGATGGTCCTCCTCTCCTTACACCAAAAATGTATTCATCCAGGGAAACAAATCTTTATTTTTAGAAAGATGACTGGCTTGAAATTGTCTCATTTTCCCCAGTTTATGACCTAGTTACAAAGACTGGAACATAACGGGTTGGGGAAAAGATGATTGGATCCTTACTGCGAAGGAGAAGTAACCATCTCATCTCAACCAGTGAGAGTGAGAGCTCTTTATCAGTGATTCTCAAAGACTGCTGGTAATTTTGAGCTTAAGCTGCAAATAAATGGCTGGTATACGGTTATACCTCCCCCAAACAACTTTAGATAAGAGGTGTCTAAAAGACTTGTAAAAGGGAAGTAAAATGTAGGATTTAGCTGAGATGTCATTAGTCTAGGTCTACAGGGTTCTTCCAAATAGGCACAGCAAGTGGTATTTTAGATTAGAAAAATCTCTATGCAGATTAAGATCGTTTTTTATTTAAGTTACTCGTACTTTTAATTTTAATAAAGAGTTGATTTTGTAGGGAAACTTTCCTATAGTAGAGCATACACTAATGGCAGGACGCCCCTTGGTCTTTTCCTTCTGGTGCCCTCATAAAGCGCACCCAGGCTACCTGGGCGGGGGGCTGATGCAACTCAGGCTGTGCTGGCTGGGGTTTCGGTTCAGATTCTGTAGTGGCACATGCCTGGCCCCAAGGCCCGCCTGCCTGTCCCGCAGGTGGTGAGAAGCGGAATTCCCGGTGGCTCCTTTGCTCCCCTACTGAGAAGCCTCCCAGGGGTTGCGGCCTCCTGTTTGTTTTCTATCCACCCCCTCCCCGCCCTCCTCTCCGCTCTGGAAGCTCAAAGGCCTGCTTGGAGTTGGAGGCCTGTTCCTTTGGAGCACTTGCTTCAATCAGCTTCCCCAGAACCGGATCCGCTGTGGCATTCTTGCTCGTGATGTGAGAGCTCTTCCTGTTCCATGAAAGCTGAGGGGGTCCTGGCAATGACCCCGGCTTTCCAGACTGATAGCGAGCCTGAGAATCAGAAACCAGGCTCCCGTCCAGGGACTTGGAGCCAATAACGAATTTGAAAGCTATCAAAAAACTGGACACTGGTCTTGGTGGGGGAGGCGGTGGGGGGCTGGCTGCACAGAATGGCTTTGTTTCCCAGGAGTGCAGTCTTTCCAGGTCGCCTGGGGACTCGAGGTGGAGGATGCCAGTCCCACCCGCCTTCCGCCTTCCTCACGGAGCTGTGCTCCCTCCTTGCTTAGCCTGTCCCCGAGTAGGGAGTAGCAGGTGGCCTTCACCTCCGGCCGTTTTCATCATGTTCTAGGATGGCAGCGGCCTTGATGGCAGTGCTTTGGACAGAAACATTTTATAGGGGAAACCGTGTGTGTATCAATGTCACGTTTGCCACTTGTCAACCCCGTGACCTTGGGCAAGTCTTTTGGCTTCTTGAAGCTGCATTCCCTGGTCTGTAAGGTGGTGATCCTTTGTGAAGGTTAAATAAGACTACACACATAAGGTGCTCATTTCAGCTAATATGAAATCGCCTACAGGAGACATCAGGCCTTCCCTCTGCCTCAAAACTTTTTCTAACCCCTCCCTTTACCAGCTTTTTTGTGCCTCCCACCCTTCCGAGAGAAGGAAATAGGGTTGGGGACAACCGAGGGGGGCACAGAGTGCGGCCTAGCCTCCTTCTAAAGGCCCCTCCAGGTGTTACAAGTCCCCCTTCCCGGCCATCTTCTCTTCCGCCAAGGCCTTAACTATGACCTCCTGGCTCTTCAGGGATTCTTTCCTGTACTCGTGCAGTGGACAGAGCTCCAGGGGTTGGGTCAAATCTCTGCTTGCTGCCACACCTGTCCGTATTCTTACCCAGATTATCAACCACCTGACAGGGAGATTCCATGGAAGAACAGATTTCTCACTTGTTCTTCTGGTGATGGCGTCATAATCCGAGATTCCAGAAAAGAATGGGCACCTTCACCCTATAATGAGAACTGTACGTGTGTGGTGCTGGGCCAGGGGGCAATGGAGGTGTGGCGAAGGTTAGGAGGTAGTTGTGCCACCCACCTCCAAGGTAGGGAAGGCTGGGAGGAATCAGGAGACTAATCTTGAGTCATCCTCTTCTTATACACCATGGTACCTTGCATCTGGTCTTAGATCCTTGTTCCTTGTTGGCAAAGGCAAAACACGTACCGGAACAAAGCAGCCTTATCAAGATTAAACTAGTGTGTACAGGAGCCAATATCCTGGCATCCACGTGTGACCTGAATGGTACTAGGAGCAGGAAGTGGACTGGGATGTACACTTAAATTTCTTAACAGTTTCTACTCTTTTGGGCATGGGGGCTGTAAAGAAAATTATTGAGGGAACTGGGGAATTTTGAAGTACTAGGAAATATGGTAGAAGCAGGACATTCCTCTGGGTGGAGGCGTCGTGAAGGTTACGTACAGAATCTGTGGTTGGGGGATCCCTGGGTGGCTCAGTGGTTTGGTGCCTGCCTTTGGCCCAGGGCATGATCCTGGAGTCCCGGGATCGAGTCCCATGTCGGGCTCCTTGCTTAGGGCCTGCCTTCTGCCTGTGTCTCTGCCTCTCTCTCTTTCTCTCTCTGTGTGCGTCTCTCATGAATCAGTATATGGAAAGAAGCACAGACTTTGAGGTCCGGGTTCATATGATGGCTAAGGATTACTGGGGAAGGCTGGACAAGAAGGACTCTAACCTAAGAGGAACTTCCAACCTTAGGGACACTTCGGGCTTTCCAAAGTTTCATTTGGATCCCACTCCTCAGCCAGCACTCTAACTGGCCCCTATCTATCCTCTCTGGTCTTCCATCACTACCTAGAGTCTTTCATTCAAACAAGGTCATTCTTACATTATTTGAGGCTCAGAGGGTTAGGGTATTCAGTGGCATAGGCTCTTTGAAGACAGCCTCCTGCCCTGAACCCCTAACAGAGGGAGCTTCCCTTGCAGAACATTGCTGAGAGAAAGAAAGGCCTGGGATGATCTCTCCAAAGCCCAGCATGACCACATTGCCTCTGAGCTGTTTTTGGCATGGGTCCTGCTTTTGCCCACCCTCTGGGTTGAGCCCGTCCGCGCGGGGAGAGGAGCCTGCCTGCAGGTGCTCTTGCCACCACAGCCAGAGCCATCACCTGCTGTCCTTATCTAGGAAAATTCAATCAGAGAACAGCAAAGAACCTCATGTTTCCAGAGCATAGTCTGAGCTCTTGGCTCCTTCCTGTGGCTCTGCAGGAACAAAAGAACAGAACGGATATGTTGGAGTAACGGCCCTAACATTTATTTTCAGGTGGTGAGTAGGCGGGGTGATGTGTAGATACACTTTCTCTCTTGCCGGTCAAGTCTTACTGAAGGCAGGCCCGTTGTTCCTTGCGTGGATCTAGGCCCCTGGAGATTCATCAGCTGAGGAGGCAAGTCTCATCACTTTAAAGACCTGACATCTAGTCAAACCCTACATGCCCCCAGGAAACACTCTCTGCAATGACTATTTGAAGAACCCTGGCCAGAGAAGCTCTCACACTTCTTATATTAATTCCGATTGTGCTGTAGGAGAGGAGGGCAGTACACGAAGCAGGGGAGGGTGGGGAGACTCTGAATCACACAGCCTGGCAAGGGGAGGAATGTTGGGTGAGGTTCCCCAAGGGCTCCCATGTTCCCTCCTGCCCCTCCCTCGCCCTCCCAGGACACCAGTCTAGGACTGGGCCAGTCCCACCTCAGAGCTCAAAGGCCTCAAGTCCAAGGACAGAACCGCAAGAGTATGGACACAAAACACCGAACAAATTGGGGGTGGGCTCACGGCCAGTGTGGTGGGAGAGATGCTCCAGGGCCATTGCTGGCTTCTCAGCATCCAGGGTTTGGGCTCTGTGCAGCAGGGGGCGCTGGGGCCCTGGGGTGGGGGTGTGCAAGGTGGGGGGCAGCTCAGTGCCGGGAAGCGCTTCACCCCCTTCTCCCCAGGGTGGTGGAGGAGCACAGGCACAGGGGTAGGGCAGTGGGCAGCAAGGGGTGGGGCTCATGGGGAGGCCGGAGAGTGGTCGGCAGTTTGATTAAAGCAGAGTGATAGCTGCCTCGAGCGCCGCCGGGAGGGGCCTCCGGGAAAGGGCTGGGCCCGGCAGGGCACAGGGCACCGAGCTGCAGCCTCCCACGGCCTCCCCACCCGCCGCCTCCCGCTCCCTGCGGCCGGGCCCAGGTTTGTGCTTGATCGGGGGCTTCGGAGCAGCGTGGCTGCAGAGGCTGCTTCGGGGGTCAGGGGGTCATCCACAAGGTGTCCACGGTCTCTGCAGAGCCGGAAAGTGGCCCGGGCCCCCCTGCACCCCTGTACCCCTGCATCCCTGCACCCCCTGCATCCCCTGCACCCCCTGCACCCCTGCTCTCCCTGCACCCTTGCACCCCCTGCACCCCTTCCCCGCCCCAGCCCTGGCGTGGGAGTCCTCAGACGTGAGTCTGCATCCGCCGCTGCAGGGGCCGGCTGGGGTCGGAGTTCTGGGAAGAGGACTGGGAGTGGTGGGACGAGGAGGCCGAGGCCTTGCTGGCCTTGTCGAACTGCACGTAGCCGTCCTGCTTGCCGCTGCTGCTCACGCTGCTGTCGCACTGCGTGTCCAGGAAGGAGCTGCTGTCGCTGAGGGAGCCCCTCTGGAACTCGCGCTCACACAGCTCGATGGACGAGCTGCCCATGCCCAGCACGAACCTCTGCCCGTAGTCGTAGAGGCGGCCCTGGCCGCTCAGGGTGCTGTAGATGTTGGTGAAGGACATGCCTGTGGGCACCCGTTGCTTGCCCCCCGCGGGCCGCAGGTCCGGCTGGCAGCTGCTCAGCGAGATGGTGGGCGTCGAGTGGTGCTCCTTGAAGGTGTTGACGCTGTAGTAGCCATTGGTGGGGTCCTGGGGGGGCCGGGGCGAGGGCAGTGCCACTGGTCACTGGCCGCGGGCGACCAGGGATGCAGGGGTGGGGATGGGGAGCAGGGGGTTGGTGGGGGTGTGCATGTCCCATGTCCTGGGGTCGGGGCGCTGCAGAGCCAGCTGAGAACCACCCTCCAAGTATTCTCTCTTTCGGTCCCAGACATGGATACTTAATTTAAAAACTCTTATTTGGGATCCCTGGGTGGCTCAGTGGTTTGGCGCCTGCCTTTGGCCCAGGGCGGGATCCTGGAGACCCGGGATCGAATCCCACATCGGGCTTCCGGTGCATGGAGCCTGCTTCTCCCTCTGCCTGTGTCTCTGCCTCTCTCTCTCTCTGTGACCATCATAAATAAATAAAAATTTAAAAAAAATTTTTAAAAAAATAAATAAAAATAAAAACTCTTATTTGGGGGACGCCTGGGTGGCTCAGTGGTTGAGCATCTGCCTTTGGGTCGTGATCCCCAGGTCCTGGGATCGAGTCCTGCATCAGGCTCCCTGCAGGAAGCCTTCTCCTCCCTCTGCCTGTGTCTCTGCCTTTCTCTCTCTCTCTGTGTCTCTCACGAATGAATAAATAAAATCTTAAAAAAGAAATAACCCCAACAACTCTTGTTTGTGGGGAAACTGTGAAAGAGGAGAAGCGGGGGACCTCAGCCTTAACTCTCTGGCCTCATCGGGCAGGGGGGCGGCCCACCTTGGCGAGAGAACAGACACCTGTCCCCAAGGTGACCTCTGGCCTCCCTGTTTGTGTTATTGTTTGCTTGGGTCTAGGGGTGGGGCAGGATTTCCCAGCTGTGATTTAGAACCTGGGGCTGCTCTTACCTTCAGGTTCTGGAACTCCTTCTCCTCTTCTTTGAGAACCTCTAGCTGCTTCAGTACTGAATCTTGCTGAAATTCACCCCGGTCCATCTACAACCCCCCCAAAACAGCTGCTCAGTGGACTGGAGGTGGGCTAAGCATCCACTTCCCCCACAGGAAAGATCGAGGAATGAACTCAAAAGAAGGCTCCCATCTGTGCCTCCCCTTCGCCGCCTCCTCTCACTGCCCGGCCCATGGAAGGCAGGTAAAGAAGGCAGGAGGAGATTCCCCATGTCTTCATCGCTGTTCCTGGACCCCCGTCCTGAGAGACTGGGAGAGACAGGAGGAGCAGAGGGGGTGGGTGGAGAAGGGGCAGTTTGCTAAGACCACACTTTCTTCCCCTGGGCTCGTGCATCACCTCCAGAGATCTCACTTGGATGATTTAATTCAAATTCATTGAGCATTTACTGAATTTCAGGTCAGGCGTAGGCACATTGAAGTGCACTAAGATATAGTGTGCACCACAGGGAGCTAGATCTGTAGATAAATAATTACAGAATCACTGGGCATAGGCCGGGGTCCTAGCAGGCAGCTCATCACCCAGTGCCAGGCTCAGTGAAGGTCTCAGGAGAGAATCACAGTGCACGACTGCCTATGAGATGCTGGCAACGTGGGCCACGCTGTTACTTACAGCCACGACTTAGACGTACTAAAAGTTACCTTCTTACCAGAGGCCAAAGGGCCTTGGGGCCAGGATCACTTCTAGCTTCTCTCTGGGTCCCCAGCACACCTGGCACAGCCCCTTGTATATCATGGTCATTGACCAAAATGCTTTTGGGGTGGAATCACATGTACCTGTATTTTTTTTTTTTACATGTACCTGTTTTGATTTGTCATGCCTAGCACAGTGCCTGAGAGACAGCAGAGCCGTCACAAATGTTATGTTGGAAAAAAACAAAAAACAAATGTTACGTTGGCTGGATGAATGAAGCGGCATAACTCTAAATCACTGAAAATTAAGACAGTTAGATGGAAGGTGGAAAATAAAGTATGCTTGGCACACAGTGGGCACATGAATCTGAATAGCCACACGCAGATGCTTCCCGGGTGTCACTTCTGCACCTGACATGGCTGGGACGGGCTCCCAACCGCTCTCTGAGCTGGGATGTTTCTTCTCCCTTGTGACTCACTTTCTTGGTCTCTCTCTGGAGCCTCATGGAATCAGCCAGAGGGCTTCCATTCTGTTTCACCAATGCTGCTTTTTTTTTTTTTTTTCATTTTCTGGTAAATGCTCTGGTTCTGCCTGGATTGGAGTGCTTTCCTAGCAGATTGAACTTCTAAGCCTGCCTCTCATCAATGTTGGGCCGTACAGGGGCCGGGATGGGAGTTGGGGGGTGGGGGGAGGGAGACTTAGTGGTGGGAGCTCTCAGCAGGTCCCTTTGCCAGGGTCCCCCTCCCTCCACCCAACCATACACCCCCTCTTCACTGACTACTGAGTGACTCCCACTCGTTCTCCAGGGTTTGGACTGGAGAGTGTGGAGACAGTCTGGGGGCAGTCAGAATGTCCCAGTGGGAGGGGATTCAAGGTCCTATTTGGGAGGAAGGACAGGCCAGGATACTTCCACACTGGCCTCGATGAAGTTTATCTACAGACACATCCATTTCTTCTTGGATCTAGGTTCTGGCTTCCACCCTTGTAAGATTAATTGCTCAACCGTGTCAGGCACTGCGTTTGGCCTTGGGGGAACAGACACGCACAGATTTGGGAACGTGCCCTGGTGGAACTCTGAGATAATTGGGGAGTGGACATGTAATCCAAGCGATGCACTAAAAAAGAGGCGCATGCAAAGCGTGTGAGGCGAGCAGGAAGCGTGTAGCTCTGCCAGCAGCAGTGGGGACAAGCACGGACGGGGAGGAAGTGACATTTGAGCTGATTCTCAGAGGAGAATGTGAAATTTAACGGGCAAAATCAACAGGCAGAGGTAACGGCCTGTGTGAAGCCTCGGAGGTATCAGAGATTTTTTTTTTTGGGGGGGGGGTGTCTGGAGGGCCGGGTGCATTCAGTAGGAAGACCGAGCTGGAGACGCCAGCAGCATCAAGCCAGGCCTGATGACATGCCTGGTGGTTGGACTTTAGTAGACACGGGGAGCCGCTGAGGGATTTTAAGGAGGACAATCACAGGATCCAATCTGTGTTCTAGAAGGACCCTTCTTGTGGGTCTCTGGAGGGTGGTTAAAAAAAAAAATAATAATAAGGAGGTGATTTCAGAGCAATACAGCGGCTAACATTTCTTGAGCACTTACTGTGTCCCGCGGGCTGCAGCCCTTATGGGTTTACTCACTGAGCCGTGGCCACGGCCCCGTGTGCTATGGCTTTCAGCCCCACTCCACGGGTGAGGAGACTGAGGCACATGCTCTTCACCCCCGTGCTTGCTGCTGGGACTCCAGGGTATTTTCGCCAGGACACAGCACACACTAGAGTTCTCTAGCGCGGCTTTCCAGGCTCCCGCTTGTACGCTGGGTGGATTACGGGCTAGTAACAGTAATCAGGAAAAGGAGGGGCAGGCTTGGGTTTGCTGCAGAAGTTATGAGCTTGCTTCTGGTAAGCGCTCCGGGTCCTGAAGAGGAACCAATGTGTCTTGCAGACTTTTAGGGGTGGGGTGGGCTTGGGGGAGGGGCAGGGCGCGCTGACTAGCTGTAATACGTGTGCACACAGAGCTCTGTGTTAAGTAACAACGTATTACGGCGCCTTATGCATCTGGCTTGTCTCTCTTCTGAACAGTCGGGTTCTTTGAAAGCTGGGGCCACATCTTAGACGGCCCTGAGTCCCCCCAAACACCACGTGCGATGTGGGACACAGACAGTGACTCTTTGTGGGCTCAGAGTGGGCGCCTGACCGATTATGGGGGAGGGCACATTCTGACCAAGGCCCTGCTTCTTGGGAGCATCCGGGCCACCCAGAGGCCTCCAGAACCAGGACCTTCGGGGCACACAGGTCGGGGAGGGGTGGGGAGAAGACGTGGCACTCTCACCATCAGCTGCTTGATGGTGGGGTGTTCCTCAGCCTCTCGACCAGAGGCTGGCTCCTTGTGGACGATCTCCACTCGGATGTCATTCTTGGCTGACACAACCCCTTTGAGATCTGGACATAAAATTGGAAAAGTGTAGATGACAGGTTCAGTCCTCATCCTCGGGCATCAGGGCCTGAGATGTGAAGCCCCCACCACCCCGGCCGCCCCCCAGGTTTACCCTCCAGCCCCTGAACTCAGTAGCTTCTGCCCCCACCCACCTCCCATCCCACCAGTAGAACACCTGTCTGGATGTGCTGTGGGCTGCTGGGGCTTCACCTCACTTTCTCTAGGGCCAAGTTACATCTACCTCAGCCTTTCACTGCTGCCGCCCTGGCTTGAGGGGCCATCCTCATCCATCCATCTCCCTTACAGAGCTACGTCCTTTTTATCCTCCTTCTAGAAGTCTTCCTTGGCCTGCTCTACCAGGCCTGCTCTTGTCTCTCCATTCAGAGAATCACAAATCTTACTGTTAGAAAGGGCCTCAAGGTCCCATGGTCAACCCACCCCTGCCCAAGGTCCCATGGTCAACCCTCACAGCCCTGACACGTGGTGGTCTAGCTCCTGTGTCAATGTTTCCATGGTGGCGACTTTACGACTTCTGGGGGAGGCAGCCAATTTAGAGTTAGGAAACTCTGTTAGAAAACTCTTGCTTGTGGGGCACTTGGGTGGCTCAGTCGGTTAAGCATCTGCCTTTGGCTCGGTTCATGATCCCAGGGTCCTGGGGTCGGGCTCCCTGCTCAGTGGGGGTCTGCTTCTCCCTCTCCCTCTGTCATTCCCTTCGCTTGTGCTCTCTGGCTCTATCTCTCTGCCACAAAATCGTAAAAAAAACCCAATTCTCACTAAAACATGCTCCTCTATAATTTCCATTGAGAGGGTGGTGGGGGAGCTTCTAAGTCCACCTCACTGCGGGCAGGCAAGAGAGCTGAGGCTGGAGAGGGGGAAACCTAGTGGGGACACCCAGATTTCTTCTGATACATCGAAGTGGTGGAGGGAGTAGGCCTCCTCTGACTATTCATATTGTGCCTTAGGATCATTAAATGCGGGTCGCCTGGGTGGCTCGGCGGTTGAGCCTCTGCCTTCAGCCCAGGGCATGATCCTGGAGTCCCGGGATCGAGTCCCACATCAGACTCCCCGCAGGGAGCCTGCTTCTCCCTCGGCCTATGTCTCTGCCTCTCTCTCTCTCTCTCTCTCTGTGTGTGTCTCTCATGAATAAATAAAATCTTTAAAAAAGAAAAAAAAAAGATCATTGAACGTTAGAACCAGCGGAGTCCTAAAAGTCCCATCATGCAATCCCTTACTATCACACACAGGGAAACTGAGGCCGGGAGAAGCTGTGGCCTGGCCAGTCTCACACGGTAAGGAAAGGTCAGGCCAGAAGCCGGTGCCCAGGGTTTGCCTCCGCTCAGGCACCCCGCGCGTCTGTCTTTCACACATAACGTCAGAGCTGTGCCCAGGACGGAACCTGGGCACACGCGACCCTTCAGGAGTGCACAACTCCAGAACTTCAATGCTAGTGACTCAAGACCTCTTCAAGTCTTCAGAAAGGGATTCCTTGAATGTTTTGTCCCCACTGTGTGTGGGTGACCTACTCTTCTGGTTAGACTGGTAGAAACTGGAGGGCAGGGACCAGACCCCCCTCTCCCCCCAACCCCCTCTCAGATTTCTCTCCGGTTCCATCCAGCCCGAGGAGTTCCATCCAAAGTGCTGGCTGGGGCCTCGTCAGATGGAGCTCAGTTTAGTCCAGTTCCACGTGGGCTGAGTGCCCACTAGGGGCCAGACACCACGCAGTGCTCTGCCCGTAGGAGATGCCAAGTCCCCATCCCTACCCCAGCAGCTCACAGCACTGTTAGGGGCCCCTGCTCATTGCCCCCTGCTTACTTGCTCTCCGGGGCAGTCTAAGCCTGGTTTTTTTCTCTGTCCCCCTCCCTGAGATCCCGGGTCTCCCTCCCGTACTTCTCTGGGAGCGGGCACAGCAGAAGGCCACAATGGTTGCCATAAGGACGAGGAAGGCCACGCCGGCTCCTACGGCCACCCCGATGATGACGGCCATCGGCACAGACTCTGCGGGAGAGAAGCAGGCACCGCCCATGAGAAACCCGGGACCCCGACTCTCCCTATCAGGGCTTTTACCCAGGTTCCCTGGGTGCGGCCCCTGCCAGGCTGGGGCCAGAGCACTGCACTCAGGCCCTCCTGGGGGGTACCGTGGGGTGGGACTCCCCCAGGTGGAGTCCAACAGGGGTCAGCTCCAGCGGGGCTCAGAATGGAGAAGGGGGTGGGAGGAAGTGGGGACAAGGGAGCAGTGGTGGGTGGAGACGGAGGCAAGCGCACACGGGGTGGGGAGGGCCAGGGAGGGCCACCCGGAGATGAGAAGCAGCGCGGGGGTGCCGCGTGACTCCCTTCTGTACTAAACCAGGAATTTGCATCATGTGGTGGCTGGACGGTAGAAAGCCCTGGATTTTACTACAGTCACTTCCCTCCTTTGCCTGGCTTGAGCTCTCCTCCTCTCCCTGTTCCCAGGTACAGAGGATGGACATGGACAACCAGCTTCTAGAGAGTTCTCAGGCCGAGGCAGCTTCTCCTCACCGGCCTGCTGGGCATCAGGGTCGTTGCTGCCAGTGGCCCAATTCTTAAATGCGCAGGTGGGCTGGTGGGGGGCAGGTGTTGGGATGGCAGCTCCCTCCAGCTCTCTAAGGAGAAATGCTCCCTTCCTTGGGCCCTTCACCCCTAGTCTTGCTCCTTCCCCTCCGGGGCCAGACCTCAGGGGATCCTGGTAGCCCTCCCTGAGAGAGGCCCAGAACTCTAGCTAGGCAAGTCCTCGCTCCCTGCAGAATTTCTGTAGCTGTTTAGTGCCCTGGCCTAGCAGAGCTGCTAATGGGGTGCGTATGTGTGTAGGGAGTGGTCTTCAGATGGTCCTGGCCCTTCTGTGGCTGCAGATGGGTTGGAGCACAGGGTTTGGAACCCTGAACTGTCCACTGGGAATAGAATTAGAAAACACAGGGACACCTGTGCCTGGATGGCTCAGTGGTTGAGCATCTGCTTTCAGCTCAGGGTGTGATCCTGGGGTTCTGCATCGGGGCTCCCCACAGGGAGCCTGCTTCTCCCTCTGTCTGTGTCTCTGCCTCTCTCTCTCTCTCTCTCTGTCTCTCTGAATAAATAAATAAGATCTTAAAAAAATAAAAAAGAAAGAAAATTTAGGGGCAGGGAGACCTAATGGTCTGCTGAGTCCGAGCCTCCTGTTTATAGATGGAAACAGTGAGGTCCAGAGAGGTCGCATGACTGGGTCAAGGACACACAGCTGCAGAAGGCCAGGGCCAACCCAGGCCTCCGTTTGCTTCCCAGCTCCATCTGCTGCATCACACAGCATCCTCCGAAGTTCACATGCTCTGGACAGCACAGACTCCAGCACGTTTTCTGAGCAACTTACTTCACCTCTCTTATCTCTAAAGCGGGATAATTATAGTGCCCACCTCAGGGGGTTGGGACAGGGTTCAGATGAGTGAATGCACGAAAAAGCCTTGGAATTGAGCCTGGCACCAGCCCTAGTCAAGGATTTGCTCCTGGTTCTGTCTGGGTAGAAGTGTAGCGGGCAGGTCAGAACCTTCAGGAAGAAGAAAATTCATTCTAGAGCTCTCTGCCCCCTAACCTGCCCTGTATTGTCAGTGTGGACGACTGCAGGGCGTCGGGGGATTTGCCTTGGGCTCAGGGTTAGTCTCTCATTGCTGTTATTTGCTTTAAAAGGAGGAAGAGAGGAAGAAACCCTCAAGCCCTGGCCCCTGGAGATGTAGCTGGGAGGTGGCATGGTTTTACCCTTCCGGGAGGAGCAGGTGCCTGGGGCCTGCAGTGTTGGTGGTTGTGCCACTACTTTATTTTTTTGTGCCATTACTTTCTTTCCACCCCAGGACGTGCACAGCAGTGCATTCATCGCCTGCCTGTTGTGGCCGAAACCGAGACCGCGGTAAGAATGGCAGGGGAGGGGACAGGAGAAGGCGGGTGCCGACAATACTCCGGGATTCAACATGGGGGTGTCCGGGTTGGTCTCCACAGTCAGGAGTGAGAAAGGGGACCTGACCTCAGTCAGACCTGTGAGCTTGCTTTGGTAAATAGGTGATTTCTGTCTTTAGGTTTTAATAGCTTTGGAAATTCATTGGTTCTATACTTTTGAACTTTATTCATTTGGGTTCGATTCAGTTCCTCCTTGATTCCTCCTAAGTCTCCTTGGGAAAATCCCGAGTCTCGTCTCAGCTGAGCTCAAAGCCAAAGGATGACCATGGAAGGTTCCATAAGCCCTCCAGGCCTCGATGTCCCTCCCGCCAAACTAGAGGGCCAGGCAGCAGTACCTAAGGTGACTTCTGACCCTGGCATCTCGGGAGGCCACATTTCCTTCAGTTAACAGCCGGCAGGGCACCGTCCTCTCTGGGGAACTGTCTCTGAGGGGGCGGGCCAGGCGCAGAGAGCGAGGGTCTGCTGGGGGCAGGGGGACCTCTGGGGTGGTGGTCCCTCTGCAGCCCGCCTGTGTGTCTTTCCTCCTTGCCTGGCTACCTGAGGCCTGGCCGAGGCCGCCTGTTCGGGCTGACCCTCTTGGCGGTTGCCTGGAGAGGGGCTGGAGGAGGGGGCTGCCCACCTGCCCGGCCTCCCCTCCTTCCAAGGAGGGGACCTGGGCACAAGGAGTCTCAGCCACGAAGGAAGGTCAGGGAGCTGTGGATGAGTGTGAAGACAGGTGACATGGAGATAGGAGGGTGACACCACCTCCGGCGCCAGGAGGGGCTGAGGGAGGACAGAGCAGGAGCTGATAACCCCGTGCACAGCCTCTAGGAGCTCTCTGGGCGGACTGCTGCTCTCAAGGTGCATGTCTGCCCAGGAATGGGGCTGTGGACCCCACAGGGGCTTGATGGAGGAACTGGCAGGCCCTAGCTCCTGCAGGGTCATTGGGGTAGAGGACCCCCCCCCCCAACCCTAATCTTCTTCATGGCCCTTGTCGGCCCCATGGAGTCTGGCTTGCAATGTCCTGATTCTCCTTCTGGGTTTCTGCTTAGAGAGTGGAGGCGATTGTCTCCTGTGGGGTCAAGTCAACCCTGGGAGCCTGGAGACCACCTTGCTGCCAGGTGCCTGGGGAGGGAGGCCCTGCCCAGTAGCCTCAGCCCCACGGGGGGCGGGGGGGGGGGCTGGATGATGACTCAGTGGGGAGCGGCAGGAGGCGGGGGAGGAGGCAGGAGAGTGGAAAGCATGGATTGGCATGGATGATGCAGGCCCAGGGGCTGGGCGCCCTGGCGTCCTGGGAAGCATGGCCAAGCTGGTGATGATGTTGAGAAGCGGGAGGGAAAGTCCGGGAGAGCCTGGAACCAGAGGGAGGCCAGGCCAGGGGCGAGCTGACCCCAGAGGGGAGGAGCCCAGGGATTCGAAGAGAAGGGATGAGGGAGGAGCAGAGGGGGAGGAGCAAGGAGCTCAGGGGCTGCAGAGGAGACAGGTCTCTGGGGTCTGTAGCCCCCACTGGCCGGGAAGCCCTCTCTCTGCTCTGGCTGCACTAAAGCCTGGAGGTGGGGGGAGGGCAGAGAAGTTAGTGGCCTCCAGCGGCCTCCCTACCCCTTTCAGGGTCCCTCCCCCACTAGCCCAGAGGTCCCTTCCTCCCAGCCCGGGGGAGTTCTCATGTCTCCTTCCGTACCTGCTTCCAGCCCGGCTCCCGACTTCATTTCCGAACCTGTTTGGAAATAAAGCAAGCGTCCACAGCCAGGGCCTGGCCGGCCAGGGTGGGGTGGGCCTGGGGCCGGCCACCTGGTGGGGATCGGGACGAGGGGCTCCCTCCTCTCTCATGTTTCCGGGACCACCCAACGGACCCAGGCTAGCTGAACTGAACTTGGCGTTCTTTCAGGCTGACTTAGAAGAGACCCCAGAGGGGCGGGGACCAGAGAGAGAAGTGAGGGCTTGGGACGGGGTGCGGGTTGTCTGGGGAGGTTGGGGTGAAAACACTAAAGGGAGGGCATGGGGGTGGGGTACTTGGGGGGGGAAGACATGGAGGACAGCAACGGGGAGGGGGTGCTGGGAGGGTTTAGGATGATGTGTGGATGATAGTATGCAAATTATGTGCAAAGCATTATGCAAAGCAGCACCTATTAGTGAAGACGTGTAGGGAGACACGGATCCACAGGGTAGCGCTGAGGACCCATGGGTCCAGCTGAGACCACCTGCTTGGCCCAGAATCTCTTGCCAGGCCCTGACAGTCTGTGGGTGAGCCTTCATCTTAGAGGGGAGGGACACTGCCAGGGCCGCCCTGTCTGCCATAGACTGAACCCCCCGGCAAAGGGGCAAGATCTGGAGCCCATTTCAGGACCACTGTGCTGCCGGCTGTCTGCCAAGCTTCTCCAAAACCACCCTGCTGGGGGCCCCTCGGAGGGCCCCATCGCATGGTCCACGTGAGACCTTCAGGTGGGTTCTTGAGTTCTCAGCATCTCTCTGAGCAGGAGCTGAGCCTTCTGTACCTGGGGTCTCGGCGGGGATGGGCCTTCCTCCCTCCTCCTCCTCCCTCTCGCCTGCCCAGCAGCTCTGAGCCCTCCTGCCCAGCACTGCCCTCTGGCTGGAGCCCCCTGCAGAGCACAATGCTCCATATGTCCTCTGTGCTCCCGGAGGAACTGCCTGTGATCTGAACCTGACCTCCCCATGCGCCAGGATTGGGGGCAGCTGAAGCGTTACCCCTTAGCTTGGCATGAGCACCGGCTGGGGGACTTTCAGGTAACCTGATTGGCCTGTGGTCTTAATGGGCTGGTCCACATTCCCCAACATATCTGTCCTGGTGTATCCCTGCAGGGACACCCCTCAATGGGCTGTGCACACACCCTTAAGGACGCTAGGGAAATGCCCAGTGCCCAGAATCCAGGGCCCTTAGAAGCTTCTGGAAGGCTCATCATGGCACTCAGCTTGCCTTGTTCTGTGGTCACCTTTTCCTGAAACACTGCCCTGGAGAACCACTACCTAGCATGTTTCTCTCTCTCTCCTTTCCTGGTGTGGGCTAAGGTCTTCACCTCGGGGGACCTGGACCCAAGAGGGCCACTTTCGGTGACCCGACCAAGGCTGCATAGCACGTCAGGAAGAGCGCCGTGACTTGTCCCCAGGCTCACACTGCCTATAACTTCAGCTGGGCTCTGTAGGCTCAGGAGCCTGGAAGACCTTGCCTGGGGCCCTGCCCTGGGCTGGGAGGGGGCCTGCTGGTCCCCTCATCCCCTGGTGGCCCTGGCGGCCCCCACCTTGCTCCTTGAGCCGGATGATCTCCGTGTCGGAGCCAAAACTGTTCCAAGCGGTGCAGTTGTAGATGGTCTGGAAGTCGGCCCGCACGATGTTGCTGATGCTCAGGGTGGAGATGACCCCCTCTTCGGTGCTGACTGTCTCCACCGTGTAGCGCCCCGATGTCCCCGACTCCAGCACATTCTCCTTCCAGGACCAGGCCTGTCCGAGATGCGCAGAGTTAGGAGCAGACCCTCCCACCAGGGCTGCCGTTCCAGGGCCGGTGCCGCCGGGCTCACACCCGGGCATGTGTGCACACGGGCACATGCACACATAACACACCACACCGCAAATGTGTGTGAACACAGTACACACAAACACACGTCACTACACGCGTACACACACCGCGCCAACACACACGCACACACTCATACCCATGTACGCACACACGAAGGAGGTGGGGCCGCCCCAGAGGGCATTTCCATCGACGGGAGGCCTCATGTGGCTCTGCCCTGGGACATTTTCCGGGAGAAGAGGGAACTCCGTGCCAGCGATCGGAGCCCTTCCCTCGGCTGGCCTTTTGCTGCCCTGGCAGGTGGAGTCACTGAGCCTAGTTTTGTTACGCTGCTCATTTGGACAAAGATATGTTCCAAGACTTCTATTTGTGACCATCTTAACCTGTCTTAGCTGGCAGCTTAATTTTTCTCAGGACCGTTTCACAATTCTCAGTGTGTAAGCCCCTGGCACATACACCCTGGCTCGTGGCGTTTGTGAGAATGCGTCAATCAGCGCAGGTAAATGCTTGGAGGTCACGGGTGAGGCGCCGGTGCTTTCTCAGACTTGGCACTGGGGACACTCTAGACTGGATCATTCCTGGTGGGGGGACTGCAGCGGGGGAGGGGGGCTGTCCTGTGCATCGTAGGACGTTTAGCAGCATCCCCAGCCCCCACCCACTGGATGCTGGTGGCACCCCTCCAGTTGTGACAACCTAAACCATCTCCAGACAATGCCAAGTGTGCCCTGGGGGCCAAAGTCTTCTGGGTTGAGAACCGCTGGCCAAGCATGGATCTCTATGAAGAGAAGGATGGTGTGCATATGCTCAAGAGGCAGTGGATTATTCTGCGATGGGCGTGGGTTACAGTTATAACTTAAAAAAAAATTAAAGGGCAAAGGGAACGGGAGAGGAGACATAGGTATTAGTTCTCTGTATGACTTCTTGCAGTTGGTATTTGAATTTTTTTCAGACCGTGAGTGAGCCGAATGCCTGAGAAAGTGTGTAACACGAGTAATGCCCTAACAGTATCGGAGTTTACAGGACAACAGCCTTAGCGTTTACAGCTTCAGCGGCCCAGCCCCCCGCACGCACACGCCCCTGTTGCTCAGTGTGCGCTCCCTACGCCCTCCCTGGCACCACCGCAAAGGCTCTGCGGAGTTTACCCCGGGGAAGTCTTCTATCAGAACACTTCTAGGCATCAGGAGCTACTAAAAATAGCATCTGACTCCTGCTAATGCTAGAAGTGCTCACCCTTCTCCGTTTCTGTGCCTGGGTTTCCCCTGGTTTCAGATGGACTTGGGTGCAGACTCTGGCTTTTACAAATGCAAATTCCTGGCTGGGCCAGAACTCTTCAGGTTGCCTTAGGGCAGCTCGGGGATGACTTTTGCAGAAGGGAGGGCAAACAGAATGATACTTTTGGTGGGGTGGGGGTGAGGGGAGAACCTTGGTAAGTGGGGCAGGGCTCTCCATGGGCATTAGGGCCCTGAGGGCCAATAGAGGACGATGACCCTGGGGGGCAAATAGAGGGGATTGCTGACCACATACCACAAACTCTGTTTAAGATTTTGCCAAAGACTGGCCTTGACCCCGGGAAAGGAAAGCAATCACTTGTCATTCCTTTCTGCTCCCCTCGCCTGTGTGGCCCTCTGCTCCTAGGCCGCAGAATCTGGCCGGAAGCATTACATTGGGGGCACAGCTGGACAGCAGAGCAGAGTTAAGACATTTGCAGACCAACCCCGGGAGCACATTGTCTTCACGATGCCTTTCCTACAGCTTCCCCCCCACCTCAGGACAGGAAGCTCAGAAGTGTGCCCCCAGCTTGGTCCCAAGCTGCGGGCTGTGCTGGCGGTGCCCCCGCCTCCCCTCCTGGCCCCAGAGCACTCACGATTCGGTCGGGGGGCGGCGTGCTCCGGATGAAGCACTTGATCTGGCCCTTCTCCCCGTGGAGGGCATGCTGGGTCTGGGTGCTGGAGATGATGGGGGGTCCTGTTGGGGAGATAGCATCACATCAGGGATTCAGGAAAGGCGGGCCCCGGGCTGGAACCTCTCCATCAAGGCAGTGGTTCTGCAAACATTAACTGGAGGCCGGTATGTGCAAGGTAACGTGCAAGGCAGGGGACTCAGAGATAAATTAAGTGTTCAGTCATAAACCTCTCAAGGGATGGCGAGTCAGAAAGCCCAGGGGACATAAATAACCGTCATAAAATGTGAGTGTCGGGACCGGGGAGCAGGACAGACGAAGTGCTAACGGACTTCGGAGGAGAGAGGATAATTCAGCCGGGTGGATGGGGGAAAGCTTTATGAAGCAGGTGGGAAACCTAAAAAGGGAGTAAGGGAAGTGTGGGAGACGGAGGGACCTAAGCAATGTTACCTCTCTAACTAGTATCCCCTCGGCCTCCGGCGGCGGAGTCCCATTCGAGCCAGTCTCCCCCGTGTCCAGGAGAGGGCGCGCTTGCCTAACGAACCGGAGAGGAGGGGCCCTAACGCTGCTGCTGCTTCTCCACCCAGGGAGGGGGTCACCCCGGGTAGGGGGGTGCACTGGGCATGGTCACAGCCTTCATCGCACATGTCTTAGGAGATCCTGCAGGTCACGGACTTGCCTGCCTCCACATTTGTACCCAGACGGCCCAGGTGTCGTGACCATGGCTGCAAAGCTGACCTGCACCTGACCATGATCCCATCCAGGGTGTGTGTGTGTGTGTGTGTGTGTGTGTGTGTGTGTGTGATGGGGAAGCAAGAGAAAGGCATGGTTATGGATGTTCTCCAGGAGCACCTGTCTCATCCACCTCGTCCCACAGCCTAGAGAGCCTACAGGGAGCCTGACGTCCAGAAGCCCCCCAAAGTCCAGAAGAGCAGAAGAGTGCTTCCCGTCCAGTTCTCCCTTTCATCTAACCTAGGGCCTTCCCACGCAATGCCCACCTGGCACAGAGAGGAGGAGGGAGGAGAGGTGGACTCAGCTGTTGGCTCAGCCAACTTCCTGGCTGGACTGGGTGCCTGAAGCAAGGGGTGTGGGGATCGAGGCCCCTCCCAATCCCTGAGGGTCTTGGGTGGGAGGAGGGAAAACAGAGGAGAAAGCTGGAGCAAGGGATGGGGAGGAGAGGCAAAATTATGCGGGGGAACAAAACAAAAATTGCTGCAAACATAATTGCTGTTTATTAGCCACCTTAATTAAAACAGATTTGCATTTCTATGAGTAGCTCTCTGCCAAGGGTGGGGGGGGGCGTACTGGGAGACTTTCAGGTGACTGTCGTTGCATTTAGGATGGCTGACAGCTTGGAGCTGGTGCGGCTGATGGGGGGACCCTTCAGGTAAGGGCTTCCACCGAGGCGGCGCCCAGCGTGGGCCCAGCGAGTCTCTCTCTTACATATTCTTGCTCCAAGAAGCCTTTGGCCCAAAGGCAGGAGGGCTTGATGTTTTAGGCACTCGGAGGGCACTTTGTTTTGCTGCCGGATGAAAGGGATGATACCGGCACACCTTTCCCTTTCCCCCCTCACTTCCCAGGAGCTAGGGATTCTCTGGGGGGCTTCTCGGGCGATTGGACAAATGCATAAGCATTTAAGGGCATCTTAGAAGGAAAGCCAAATCAGAATAAAGGTGGAGCTGGCCAAAACACAGGGTAGTATGGTTCATCTCCCCCTTCCTGCAGACCAAGGTCGGAGCCAAACCAGCGATGAGGACCTGTGCCAGTTTACTCCCCAAAAGGCAAGGGGCCGCTGTCACCCACCAGCTGGGGTGTGTTGTGGGGAGAAGCCCATCTCATTGTGGATCCTTTCATAATGTCCCGTCCCGTCAGCCCAGTCCAGACCCCTTCCCATAGATCTTCCCTCCACGTGTTCTCTAGAAAATTCCTCTTCTTGCTAGCTCTTGCTCCTCGGCATTAATCCATCCCCCTGCATCAGGGCAAGATGACCCCAGTTCAGCAGAAATACACACACCGGCTCCTTGCTTCATTCCAATCCCTCGGGCGTTTCTCTTCCTTGTGCCCTAGGGGAGCCTGTGCCCGGAGGATTGGAGGCAGAGGAGGGGGATTTAAACACCATCCTTGAGGAAGGGGGTGCAGATCCAACCCTGCGTGGCCGCCAGGGCCCAGGCTGGGGTGTCCCTTCCAGGAGAACTGTCCTTCTGAGGTCTGCATTCCCTCCTGGAGAGACCACGTTGAATCCCTGCTGGGAAATGCCTGAACGTCTAAAGTGACAATGGAACGTCAGCCCCTCCTTTATCTGCCTTGTTTTCCCCTAAAATGAGGATGTTCCTTTAAAAGCTTCAGGCTTGGGGGCCCCTGGAGACCACGCGTGAGTCTGGGGGTCCCCAGCCCCGCCCGTCACGGGCCAGCCCCCAGAGCAGACAGCGGGGAGGCCACCGCTCTCACCAGGGCCTGGCGCCTGGGCCCAGTGTCAGACACCAGAGCAGCAGGAAAAGGCTGCAGCCTGCGTTGCCATGGATATACGGAGGCGCGATCAGATGATGTTATTTTTAGCCTTGCAGTGCCAATTTATTGGTGGCGTCCTGGGGACACAAGGGGGAAAGCACAAGACTCCTGACTCAGGAGGGGAGTCTGCCCAGGACAGGTGGCCTGCAGGTGCCCCCGGAGTCCGAGTACACTCACCCTCCCTCTGGGGCTGCCAGACACTGGGGGAGGAGGAGAGGAAAAGAAATAGGTGGAGGGGGGCTGGCTGATGGGGAAGCCAGAGGGGGGCGGCCAAGGAAGCACCAAGCTGGCTTTAGTTTCCTAGCAAAGGGGGAGAAGAGACAAGGCTGCCTGTGGGCAGCTTCCTGGGTCCAGATGAAGCCGGGAGGGCAGATTTCTAGAACACAGCTCAGCAACTTCCCTCAGGGCCCTGATCTGGGGCCAGCACCCAGGGGCCCTACAAATGTGAGTCTGGGGCTCGGGTCCCGCTGGGGCTCAGAGCCTCGGGGCTTTGACCAGAGGCCGACTCGGTGGGACCAGGGCCCCAGAAGAGGGAACCCAAAAATCCAGGGGAGTGAGGATGTTTGGAAAGACCAGAGGGACTTGGCCTGAGCTTTTCTCGCTCTCTCCAACCAGCAGCTCTGTTTGCCCAGCAAGGCCCGAGTGCTTAGCTTGGCAGGGACATCAGATTTCCATCCTGGTGCCCCAGCCTTCTTGGGGTCTGACCCAGCTTCTCCGAGACTCGTCTACATGCCATCATCCGGGCCCATCTGACACTCTGTCCCCTAAATGACTCATCTGACCGTCATCTGTGCTCTTGGAGAGATCTGAAACCCTCTCCTGCTATAATGGTTTTATGGTAGGTGATAAGACACGTTCTCTGCCCTCAAGAGGACCCCGCTGAATGCTTGGTCTTGTGGAAATTGTGACAGGTCTCTCTGACTGAGCAGCTGTCACGCAATGGGACGGGGCCAACCAGGAGTCCCAGAGATGCTCCCTTAAATTCCCTCCAGGCCCACAGTCGAGGTCAGAGGGTAGATAAGGGATAGTTGGCTGCCTAGTGATCCTCTGACCCTTTCCTCTTGGCCAGCGCCCACTCTCAAGGCTGGGGCCCCTTAGCAGAGAAGGAGGAGGGTGACCCAAGTAGCGAGGTCCTTCCTCACCTCAGAGCTGGGCTTTGACACAGACTCCAAGAGGTGGACAGAACTACTGGATGGACCCAGGTGGGAGGTGGAAGCAAGGCCCAGGACCATGGACAGTCCCTTTGAGGCCAGGCCCGGGACCGAGGTGCCTCGGGCCGCTCTGCTCCCTCCCAGCCTCTCCGCATGAGTAGGGGGCTTACCATTGACTGTCAGGGTCACCTCTCGCTCCCCGGCTCCCACCCGGGGCACCACGGCTCGGCACACGTACTTCCCAGCATCTTCCTGGCGGACGGTTTTGAGGGTCAGGGTCTTTTCGTTGCTCAGCACCTGCGAGAATTGCAGAGGATCAGACACGGACAGCAGAGCTGGGCTCTGTCTCCCAGAACCGGGAGGGCTGAGAGGCAGGCCTGCGTCAGTAAGGACCAGGGGTGGGGTGGGAGGCCGTGTGCCCAGTGAGCTGTTGGCGGCGGGTCTGCAGCTACACACCAGCTGGCAGCCCTAAGGGCCTGGCCCCTGGGGGAGAGGGGTGTGTGGAAGGAGGCGGGTTCCCCCTGGCTGGGGCCCGGAGCCTGTCTCACGCAGGCAGGGCTGCCCACCAGCCCGAACCAGGCTGGCCCCACTGAACTTGTTGGAGACTGCCTGCATCTGTCTTTTCTGAGTCATTTTCAGGATCTTTTTGGGAAAGAGTTTGGGGTGATCCAAAGACTTTGGCATTAGCTAGCTCTGAGTTCAAAACCCGACTTGGGCGTTGACTACCTGTGTGGCCCTGGGCCGATACTGATCTGCTCTGATGCTCTTGCCTTATTTCTACGAAGGGGCAGTCCCACTCATAGGGTGGTGTCGTGTCTGGCACATAGTAGGCCACATAGAGGTCTGTCCTGCCTTGACCTCCCTCCTCGAGGGTCTCGCTCGTCCTCCTGAGGGGAAGGATATCTGCTAAACTTACACACACTAAAAAACACATATATTTTAAAAGAGGAACACAGGAAGGCCACGGAGCTTAACTCGAAATTGGAAGGATAACTTGACTATTTGGGGAAAGTAGAAATGCCTTTCTAGAGACTTTTTACTCCCTGCATATAGGTGACCACCTGTTCTTCTTCTTCTTTTTTTTTAAAGATTTTATTTATTTATTCATGAGAGACTCAGAGAGAAGCAGGCAGAGACATAGGCAGAGGGAGAAGCAGGCTCCCTGTGGGGGACCTGATGTGGGACTCGATCCCGGGACCCTGGGGTCATGCCCTGAGCCAAAGGCAGAGGCTCACCCCCTGAGCCACCCAGACACCCCGACCACCTGTTCTTCTTCTTCTTTTTTTTTCCCACGTGTTCTTCTTATAAGGTTTGTGATAGGGCAAAACTGCAATGCTTGAATGTGTTTAGGACTGAGGGGGTATCTGGGGTTCCCCCCCTCTTTCTGGGGTCCTTCCCCCTTCAGCTTATCCTGGAGGCTGATGCCCCCAGTTGAAGAATGAGGGGGGCCCCAGCAGGCTGCTCCCATGGTCTGAAGCCCCTGTGGGGTCTGCGTTGAGCACTTACCACGCCCGAGCCCCGCTTCATCCAGACGATGGTCAGGGATGGGTTGCCTGTCCAGGCACAGCTGAAGACAGCATCGGAGCCCAGATCCACGAGCAGGGATTGGGGCTCTGTGGTCATCCTGGGCCCAACTGTGAGAGCAGGAAGGGGAGACAGGGCTCTTGGTGGGCTGGGAGCTCTGGGAGAGGGGTCGGGGAGAAGGAAAGACCCCTGCCCCCAGCCTGGCCTCCCTCGGGCCCGCCCACGGGCAGCAGTAGCCCTAGCCAAAAGGGCTCTGGCCCCAGTTCTGTTGGGACCGCCCCCAGGGCTCTCCCACTTCCACGCCTATGTCCTGGTTCCAGGAAGCCCCCGCCCTAGCCTGCAGGCAGAGAGGACTCCCTCCTGCCCCTCAAATCCTGGGGGTTGGGATCTTCGCGTGTCTGCCTTCAGGTCAATGGCCCACCTCCCCCAGGCTTCAGCTTTGTGACCTGGGGTCAAGTTACCCTGTGCCCCTGGCATCCCTGAGCCCTCCCCTGCCCCCCCAGGGTCCTCCAGGGGGCTCTGAGATAAGGCCTGAAGGAAGCCCTGCCTCTCCCCATGCTCTCCCCTCGGCTCCAGGCCCCAGGGTTATCTGCTAAGTGTGGGTGAGCATCCTCTCCGCCCTCCCCGCGGCCTGTAACCAGAGCACCTGCCAACCAAGGCTTGGTCCCCAGAGTGGGTGCCAAGGTGGAATTTCAGGCAGAGTGACAGGAGGGCATGCAGACAGCCCTTTAGCTGCTCTCCAGGAGCAGAAGAATGTGAAAACCAGGGTCAGGAGGCCCGGATTAGTCCCCCAAAAAAGGGGAGTCCCAGCACTTTCTATTGAGGCCGCTGGGGGCGTGGGGAGGGCTCAGGCAGAAAGTGCTTCTAAAAATGTAACCCCGCAGCAGATGAGCTGATGCTCATTGCTTGAATGTATCCAACTGGCTAGTCAGTGATGGGCTGGTTCACCAGGGAGGGGGTGCAGTCCCTGCCGGCCGCCAGAGGGAGGTGTCCTCGGGTCCCTACTGGGAGGCCGCATCCCATTCTGGGCTCCGGAATCACTTGAACCTGGCCTCCGTTCTCTCTCTGCCACTTAGTGAGTGACCTTGGGCCTCCATCCCCTCATCTGAGGGATGGGTATAACAATTCCTGCCTCCCTGGGTTACACCAGGGTCGGGGTAAGCCGGAGACCCCCCATGAAGGAGCTGGTCTTGAAGCGGGCAGCGCTGTGAGCTGGTGAGGCATTGCCTTGTTGTGTGCAATAGCCCAGCAGGTTTCCTGCGCCCCGAGCACGGCACAGACACCCCAGGGCCGCCGGCCCGCGACGCACCCCGACGGCTGCACTCACAGTAGACGTCCACCGTGCGGCTGATATTGGTGCTGCCCAGGGCATTGGTCACCTCGCAGGAGACAGGCTCCGAGAAGTACGTGTAGTCCACGGCGGTGCGATAGACCTCTCCAGATGCTTCCTTGATGATCTGGCCCCGCTTGGCCCACCTGTAACACAGACCCCCCGCGCGCACGTGAGGCTGTGGACCAGAGGGTGCTTCTGCTTGGGAGCTGGGTACTCCCATCCCACAGGAAAGCGAGGCATTGTGGCATGGGTGGCACAGGGCAGCCCCCCCAGGGGTCCCTCAGTGCTGAGGGGGGGTGCATCGCCACAGAGGGTAACTTCCAGGACTAGGGGAACAGTCGGTGTTGGAGGCAGTGGGCTTTGGTCCGTGGGCCACCAGGCAAGGCAGTTCGTGGCACTGGACAAGCAGGTGATCCTGGAGAGAGAGGGTGGGCTACTCAGAAGGTCCGCCCATCTGACTGGCTGGGAAATGACTAACGCACCGTCGTCCCTGGACACTCGGCCATCCTGCCCTGGGCTCTGCTGAGGGCCCTGTCTATTGGGATCCACGCTGGAAGAGAAGGAGGCCGACTGAGGCCTAACGGCATGCACCCATATATGCGTGCATATCCATGTGTACGCGCGCGCACACACACACATATAGGCGCGCACATATATACAGAAACTTAACTTCAGACAAGGTGGGGAGTTGTGGGAGGGTCTCAGCCAGGGGGTTCCGATGGCCCTTCCTCCCACTGGGCCTGTCCTGACTTCTGCCCCCAGGGTGGCTCCCTTCATGGTGCCCTCTCTCGCCTCCCAGGGATGGCATTTGCTCTTTTTGCTCTTTTTTCCTGCCCAGCGTCTACCCTCCCACCCAGGCTTCACTCTTCGGAGGCTTCGGCTTCATCAGTCCTGGTTTAGTCAGAGAGGCCAGAAGACGGCCGCACGGACATCTCTCATCCGCCAATCGGTACCCCGAGAGGGGAGAGACTGAGGGGCCCTGGGCTCACCCGGGTCTTGGTCCCGGGGCGGTGATCACTACACTGGACCAGTGACCGGGTCACTGCTATCTATGAGGCAGTGCTGGGAGCCCCCAGGGACACGCGTGTGTGTGCGTGTGTGCGTGTGCGCCCATGTGTGTGCAGGGGTGGGGCCTTTCCTTACAGGTCCCCAGGGAGAGAGTTAACAACTTCCCCCGGTTTAACCCCATTGTGGACAACACTTGCTTTTTAAATTATGAAACTTCCAACCAGACTCCTATTCCAAGCCTATTTTGGGGCGTTTGTGCTTAGTGTCACCCCTTGACCGTGACACCTGGAACCGCAGCTTCCCTGCTGCCGCTGCCTTCGCCTCCCCTGCCTCTCCTTCCTGAGCCTTCGCTGGTACCGCAGAGGACCATCTCCTGCCTTCCCTCCCTGGGCTTCACGCTCAGGCCGGCCCGTCCGGCCCCGAGAGACGGCCGAGTCTTGGCATCACTTGGAGAGCCCGGGCTGGCACCATGCAGTTATTATCGTGAGTTAATATCACATAATTATTAAGAACATGATTAATAATAACAATTATAGTTTAACAACAGAGAAAACCATAGCTCCCTGAGAGCTTAAGGAGCTTCCCAACAAACCATTATGAGTTATTCATGAATCATTTCAATTTCTAACTTTAATTTAATGACCAGACTTAACCGTCAGGCGTAGCCCCTGCCTGAGGCAGATGAATTCAGTCCCAGACACACGGTTGGGGATCTGCGTCCAGCCTCTGCTCCTTCCGCCCTGGGGTCAGGTGGTGGGAGGCTGGGGTGTGGGCTGCAGGGGGCAGGACCTCGAGGAGGGTGGGCTGAGCCCCTTCCTGCTCCCAGGCCTGCTCCTGGCTCGGGGTAGGGAGGCTAGGGAGACGGGGCCAGCTGGGCCTCATGGGGCGTCCTCTTTTGTTCTGAGCTCCCGGAGAAGGTGGGGCCTCCTCCTCTTCTCTGGGCCCTTCCTGGTGTAGGCCACTGAGGATGGAGCTCCGTTGGCTCCCCACTGAGGACTTCAGGACAGTGGCTGGGGAGCCCAAGGATGGCTTTTGTCCCCGGCAGGGAGGCACTGTCTGAGCCTGGCCCATTGACAGTGGTTGCCCCTGGCCCCCCAGGCCCATCCTTAGAGGCGGAATGGGGCGCAAGAGGAATTCCTCTCCTCGGGGTGGGCAGGAGCTGGCTGTGGGGGCTGGGCCCTCTGGTACCTCATGGGGCCCAGGCCTTTGTGGGACATCCCAAAGGTCCCGGCTCTTATCTTGCTCAGCCTTTTTCGTCCCTTTCTTTATATTCTGCTCCCACACCAATAAAACCCTCTGCAGGGACCCCTTCCAGAAGCTCAGATGTCTCCTCCAAGCCGTGGGCCACGGGGTCAAGGGTGACCTGGAGCAAGGCCACTGTGTCAGCCTTTCCCTCTCCTCTCCCTTCTCTGGCCTGGCTTTTGCCTCCTACTGCTTCTAGCTGGACCCTGCAAGGCGCCCTCCCCCCAGCCCTGCCTCCCTCCGCACCTCGCCTCCCCCAGCCCCGTCTGAAAAGGAGTCAGATTAAGCTTTTCCTAATCAATGTCTAATTTGGCAGGAGCAAATGTAAGAGGATTAATTATTTATATCACAGAATCAAGAGGCCTGGCTATCACAGCTGACAGGCTGTCCTTAAACAGCCCGGTTTCACACTGGACACTGGTCCCACCCGGGACCTTCGGATGGGGGGGCTGGGGGTGCAGGGGAGCCTCTGAGGACAGTGGGGAGAAGCAGGAGGGGAGAGACCCACTTCCCGGTCCCCCGGGACCGGGTCTGCCTGCCTCGGGCTCCCGGGCCTGGGGTTGGGGGTGGGGGCAGCTGAAGGGACAAGGGGGGTCGCCCACACCTGTTCCTGCGCCCACCCGGGGCCTCTTTCTGGGTGCTGGGGTGGAGGAAGTAGGTCTCTAATTTCTGAGATCACAGCCTGGTGGTGGCACAGGAGGAAGCAATCAAGACGAATATGAAAGTAAAGAAACACAGGTCCCTGCAATCCTGTCAAAGTCAGTTGGGAAAAATCAATGTACTTATGTGAGGAGATTTGTTTAAAGCTTTTGCTCTCAGAGCCCAACACCACATCTAGAACCCCGGGGGGTGGGGGCTGCTGGCTGACTGAGCCCTCCCTCAAAGGCAGGGTGGTGAGGATGGTCGCAGGGGCCAGCCACGTCTTCTCTCCAGCACCCCTCCCTTCCTTTCTCTCCCAGATTTTCCTCGTGGCCATAAGGGCCCCCCCACCTCCACACAAAGTCTCTGGAGTCCCGAAGGGAGTGTGCTCCATGCTGAAGTGCTTCAGGGCCTTCGGCTACTCAGAGGGCCTCGAGGGGAGGGGGTGAGCAACAAGAGTGAACACCTGCAGGGGGGCCCCGCCCCTCCCCTGCACCCCAAGGCTGTCCCTCTGTAACCAGGGGCTGACCTGGGACCCCGGGGGAGATGCAGGGCCAGGGTGGAGGGGGAGGGAAACTTGCATGCTCTGTGCTTGTGTGTTTATTCATTAACTTTTAGTTAAAAAAAAAAACCCTCTGAAATTATAGAAAAATTGCAAGAATAGGCCAATTAACTAATGCCATACTCCCTTTACCTAGATTCATTAGTTCTTAATATACTGTCACATTTCTTTTTTTTTTTTTAAGATTTTATTTATTTATTTGAGAAAGAGAGAGAGATTGAGCCGTGGGGAAGGGCAGAGAGGGAGAAGCAGACTCCCCGACTGAGCCACCCAGGCCCCCCTATTGTCACATTTCCTTACGATGACCTCTCCATAAGGAGATTTGAACCTCACCATCACCATCATCACTGGTGTTCTGCTATTAGAGGGTGGTGCCTCTAGAAGGCAGGCCCAGGGGCACCTGAGTGGCTCAGCGGTTGAGCGAGTGTCTGCCTTCTGCTCAGCAAGTGATGGGGGTCCCGGGATCGAGTCTGCCATCGGGCTCTCCAGAGGGAGCCTGCTTCTCTGCCTGTGTCTCTGCCTCTCTCTCTGTGTCTCTCATGGGCAAATAAATAATAAATAATAAATAAATAAATAAATAAAAATAAATAAATAAATAAATAAATAAATAAATGGCAGGCCCAGCAGCCTGGCTGCTTGGGCATTAGCTCACCATCCTGGTCAGAAGGCAAGGGTGGGGTGGGGGACATTGCTGGGTCCCAGAGCATGGCCCTGCCCTCTGCCCAGCCCTCCCATAACCAGGCCCTCAGATGACCTGGAGCCTGGCAGCGAAGAGAAATCAAAGTTGTACCCTCTGGTCTTGGGTCCAGGAGGCATTCCTAGGGCGACTGTGAGGGTGCCTGTGGGGTGTGTCTGCTTGGGGGCCTGTGGGCGTCCAGGGCTCCCAGGGAAATGGGCATTCGAGGTATCTCTGGGCACGTGAGGCCCAGTGTTTAGGGACCGTAAGCAGATCTCTGTGGAGAGGAGCACAGGCATCGCAGGTGCAGGGCAGAAGCCCAGAAAAAGCGATTCTCTCTGGGTGGTTGTTTTGCATCTTTAGTCACTTCCAGATGGACGCCAGATCCCAGCCAAACCAGAGCTGCCCCCGGGACCCACAGGGCCACAGTGCCGTGCCCCTGCAGCGATCTTTCTCCTGCCTCCAGCCCGGGGACCGGTCACACTGGACAGGACAAATGGGTTTCCATCCTCTTTTCAAACAGCCTCGAGGATAAAGACCCCGCGCCTTTCCTGGGTGTTGCTTCCAGCGTGCCAGTGTGGTTCAATCATCTGCACCGCAGGGAGCTCCTCCTGCTGTCCTACCTGCATCTCTGGCTTCCTCTTTGGCCCATTTCCTCTCAGTGCGCCCTCTGGGCTGTGCTGCCTCTTGCCGTCCCGTCCTCCACTCCCACTGGCCGGCTGATGGTCTGGTCTGGGACCATTAGCCTCCCTGGCACCAGCGATGCTGCGGCGTAATAACCCATCTCGATGGCAGAGGCGACGCCCTGGGCTCCACCATCAAGTCTGGCTGGTGCAGAAGGACCGGCGTGTCAGGGCCCCAGGACTTGCACGAGGCCTAGGAGGCGGGTCTGCCTGTGAGCACCGCCCAGGACACTCCATCTCTTGAGATCTTGTGCGGCCGAAGGAGCCAGGCCACGTTAGGAGCAGCCCCACGCTGAGCTCCACGCTGAGGCCCGGATGTGGCTACACAAGAAAAGCCCCTTGCCTTCGAGAAGCTCCATCAACACAGAAAGACAAGTGTGTAAAAGTGGTGCTTTTATCAGTGTTGTGAGCAAGAGATGCGCCGGGGCCGTGGGTAGGGATGATCCTAGGCACCTGCTGGCCAGGGCCATCTGTCCCAGAAATCCCCCCCCTACACAGGTGAACGGTTTAGTGAGCACGTGGCTCACGGCTAGAACCTACGTTCTGAACTTCCTGCTTCTCCTGCTTTCTCTCTCTCTTTTGTCCCCCTGAGCCTCTCTGCCTCTTTTTAGCAAGAAGGGATAAACAGTGTCTCCGAACAGAGGCTATACCTACTGCTTCCACGGGAAGGGGGCACCACGGGCATGAAGGAAAGGGACGAGTCAGCCTGGCCAGGGATGGATGGGTGTGTGGGGGCAGGAGGATCCTGGGCACCCGCCATGGACCAGTCCGTGCGCTGCGTGCCCAGGATCACAGCTGACACCCTGTGTGATAGGCGGGAGTGGGGGGGGGGGTCCAGCAGCCAGGCTGTGCCTCGCCAGCGGGTCGCTCACCTGTACTGGGTGACAGCTGGGTTGGCCTTCGCAGAGCAGTGGAACGTGACCACGTTGTCCTCCAGCACCGGCTGCGGTTCCACGGACAGATTGACAAGCGGGGGATCTGCAGAGAGAAGAGATTCCTTTGCAGACTGGGGAGCCGTGTCCACGGTTTTGGGAAAGAAATGGGGCAGGAAGGTCCCCTTCGTGACATGGGGGAGGTGAAGGCAGAGATTCTATCACCAAGGCTGCTGAGAGCAGCACCACCCGGAGGCCCCCAGAAAGTTGGGGCCTCAGCAGTGGGCGCCCTTGCTCCCTGGAGATGCCTGCTTTGCTGCCCTGGTAGTGGGGTCAGGGCTCACCCCTGTGGGTCCAAGGCCAGGAGGCAGGGCTTCCCGGGCCCCCCGCTGCCCACCTGCCAGCCTGTAGAGAGCATAGGACGCTTCAGACAAGAGAGCTGGGCAGAGGGGTGCAGGCTGCGTGGGGCAGCGGGGACACTGATCCTTAAACACACATTTTTTTTGTCTGAAATATCTGTTTCATATCTGGTTGTGTAACGGTTCTGGTGCATCTGTTAACTTGAATGTGGCGTTTACACCCCTTCATCAGTCTGATTGTCTCTGCTGCGCCCTGACTGGTGTCACCCAGCCCTCAGCCCCCCAGGCTGGGGGCGTCTTCCCCCCCTCAATAGGATGAGAAGCCCAGCTCTGAAGTGCTAAACAGTAGGTAGGAGGTGGAGGAGACAGGAGGGGGGAAGAGGGGGAGAGGGGAGAGAATGAGGAAGGGGAGGAGAGGGAAAGGGGAGGGAGAGAGAGAGGGAGGGGGAGAGAAGGGGAGAGGGAGAAAGGGGGAGAGGGGGAAAGGGGGAGGGGGAGAGAGAAGGGGAGGAGGAGGAGGGAGAGAAAGGGGGAGAGAGAGAAAGGGAGGGGGAGAGAGAGGGCAGGGGAGAAGGGGGAGGGGGAGGAGAGGGAGGGAGGGAGACAGAGAAGGGGAGGAGGGAAGAGAGGGGGACTGGAGACAGAGACAGAGACAGAGACAGAAGGATGGGAGCAGGCGGAGGACACCTACGTGGAAGAGGGGCGGAGGATGAGAGACACAGAGAGATTGAGAAATGCAGAGGAAGAGAAAGAAGCAGAGAGAAGCAGGGAGCAGAGAGCTGGAGAGGGACACAGGGAGATGGACACAGACACAGAAACACACAGACAGAACGTGACAGGGCGTCGGGGACAGAGGCCAGGTGGGAGGGAGGACGAGAGAAGAGACACGGGGGAGAGACGCGAAGAGCTAGGAGGGTGGGTGTAGGCCAGAGCCCCTCTACCCCCGTCAGGGTGTGCAGGGCTGGCAGGTCGACCCGGGGCTGAGCCATGAGGCAGCTGGTCCCTGCCCCCAGCCAGGGTCCTGGGCTGCTCTCTGGGCGGTCCTCACCCGGGATCACAGCAAACCGCAGGACGTTCTAGGGGGTCCGTCCAGCCCATTTTCAGCAAAAGAGGAAGCCAGTTTCTCGGAGACCATGGAGACAAATGCTGACCTCTCCGGGGAGCATGCAAAGGGCACCACCGGGGAGCAGGACCCCTCCCGCCGGCCAGAGTCTCAGACCCTCAGAGAGTCACACGCAGAGTGTCCCCGGGGTGAACTCAGTCCAGCCCACCAGGAGTTGGGATCCTTGGCCCATTCGGCTCCTCTCAGCCCCGCTGGTGCTCAAGCTGGGTCCTGCCCTCCTGCAAGCTATGCAGCCGACATAGCTTGCACAGTGCCAGGGCCCAGGGCTGGGGCCAGGGAGGGGGCCCATGGGGCTGCGCCCCTATCTGCACACAGCTTGAAAGACATGGGGGAGAGAATTCTGGTTCCCGGGCAGCAGGTAGCTGACTGTTCTGAGGACCCTGATCTCCCCACATGCGCCCCCAGACCCTGATCTCCCCACATGCGCCCCCAGTGCCAGATGCCGACCACGATCCTGAGAGCATCTGCTACGGCAGCAGTGGAGAATTTTCATGGAGAATTACAAGGGAAGTGACAGGTATTGCAATGATCTCAGCCTTTGTTTTTAAAGCGTGATTCAAGCAGTGATGAGCATGGCAAGGAGCGGCCGCGAGAGCTCTCCTCCCGCCTCCCAGGAAACCTAAGACGCCCAGAACCCTGTAGCTTCTACCCAGCTCCTGCCCATCAGCTGCCCCCACCCCGGCTGTCCCCCCCCCCCCGCCGCTGAGGGCCACCAGCTTCCAGGGCCAGTACTGTCAGGAGTCCCAGCCCTCTTTTCTCTGCAGGGCCAGCTGGCTAACCTGGGCATCTGAGGGACCCTAGGGCTCTGACGGCACCACCCCTAGAGATGTGGAGACCCAGGGAGGAGCTTGCATCTTGCTGCCTTGGAGAAGCATGTCCCGAGGCATGGGGATTTGGTGAGTGCCATCTGGAGCCAAACGCATGGCTGGCTCATGTCCTCCCATCATGAAATTCAGTACTGAGAGGCGAGCTGGAGTCCCTCAATCCAACTCTTGCTCAAGGCGGTGATGGTGCCAGTTGGAGAGAATCTAGACTCCACCTGCCCCAGAGCGTGGGGGGGGGCAGCCCCAGGAGGCCCCACCCCACCTGGGTGTCCTTCATTGAATAATGAGTCTTGGGGAGCAGGGCGATGGAGCATATACCTTTTGGGGGACCCTTCCTGCTGCCCGCTCCCCTTCTCCATGGTCTGCCCGCCATTCTGAGTTCATCCTGTGCCTGCCCCTCTCCTACAGCTTCCTTACCTCTGCAAAATCCTTGGTACCCCACCTTTCTTGAAGGGCCCCAAGAGAATGGGTCCCTGGGAGGCTGGGAGGCTTGTACAACTGCCGGTCTCATCTGTACCTCCACCCCGGACCCCGAGGTGCCCGTGTCCCTCTGTCCACCCCCCTCCTCTGCATGAGCAGGATATGAATTTTCAGGAGTCTACCAAGCTCCTGGGGTATAAATAGTTTATGTCACATCCAACTATTAGACATGATTTTAATCCCACTTGTGATGTCGGCTGCATAGCTTGCAGGAGGGCAGCTTTGATGTAGCTGGTGGAACTGAGATCATATTGAACAGATGTTACAGCTGAGAGTCTGTTAGTGTTTCCATCAGCAACCTGCGTGTGTGTGTGTGCATGCGTGTATTTTCGGGGGGAGGTATTACATCTAGGAGGGGTGGAAGAGAGAGAAACTCCATGACTCAGTGATTTTATAGCACATTCATTTGAAACTTGGCAGCTGGATGCAGCGTCCAGATGTAGCAAGACTTTGGGGGTGTTAAGCTTTCTCTCCCATTACTCAATCTGGGGGCTTTGTCTTCCGTTGGGTAACATATAAAGACCAAGGGAAACAAACAACAAATGTGCTTTTGCTGAGTTTGGATGCTTCTTGGTTGACTGAGAAAATGAGCAGGTTTGCAAAGGCAGCTCCGATCCGGCCCGTGGTGTCCACAGTAAACAGTTGGACGCTTATTGAATGAACGAATGGATAAACGGAGGAGGAAGGAGTTGGGGGGAGGTGGGGGGCAGAGCGTGTGCTTTGACTTGGCAGGCACATGCAAACACCTTCCGGAGAGGAGACAAGGGCGGGAGAGGGCTCCCCTCTCAGGGCTGAAAGCGCTCACCTTGTGCCAGGTCCTGTGCTAGAAACGCACCCCCCCCCGCCGCCCTCGCCCCCTGCCCTGACGATTTAATGTAATTCTCGCAGCCAGCATATGAAGGAAGCACTGTCATTTCCACAGATGGGGGAACCAAGGCACAGAGGTTAATTCTGAGCCAGAATTCCAACCAGGAGGAATGCAGTGGCCTTAACCGCCTCCCTGTCCTGTCTCAGATGGGGCTGGCTGGGGTGACGGGCCCCCGGGGACTGAGCCTCTCTCTGGTCTCCTTCCTGATGCCTTCCTCCTCGTGTCCTTGGGAGGAGAGCCAGCCGGGGCGCAGGGACCTGGCAAGGCTGGAGTCCTCCTCTGAGGTGCACTCTCATCTGTGTGCCCTGGTGAATTGATCATCTCATTAGAGTGCATTAGAGGAGCGCCTTTTAATAGTTGGGCCGTCGTTTGGATGAGGACTTTCTTGTTGACAGGAGAGCTTCTCCTGGTGTGATGGATAACGGCCTGGAGGGGAGCGTGGCTGCTGCGGGGTCTCCCCTGCCGGGGCCCAGGCTGCTGCTGCTGCTGCGGGGGGCTCCTTTTGTGCAGGGGATTCCTAGCTGGTGTCTGGTGTTGGCCTCCTGCCCAGATTGGGGATCGGCGGGGGCGCTGGCAGTGGAGGCTTGGATGTCTTGTGTACCCACCCCCCCAGTCATTCCTCCCCGATTTGGCTTGTGTTTGGAGACAACTCTGCTCACGGTCAGTCGAAGGGCAAGAAGAAACTCCAGACATCATTTGGTCAAAGGACAAGGAACTGGCATCCCTGGAGTAAAGTGACAAGCCTGGGCTCGCACAGCCCATGGGTGGTGGAGCCTTTTTGGGTGCTGGACTGCTTGATCCCTAGAGCATCTCGCTTCCTCTCCGGAGCTGGACCTGCAGATGCTGCTCCGAAGAAGTGGGTGGGTGTGGACAGCCAGGCAGAGGGGTCCCCCTCAGGGCTGCCCTGTATTCACAGGGCCCTCAGGTGAGCACCTCCCTCCCATCACCCTGGTCCTCGGTCTGCAAGAACCTGCTGTTCTCCGCTCTCTCGTTAAATGAGGAACAGAAGAAGAAGCCTCCAGTTGGTGGCGATGAGGGAGTAGGAGTTACTAGCCGGTGACGATGGTACAGATGCAGCCTTCTCCCAAGAACTCCGCTGCTGTGTCGGGGTGTCTAGAGCCCGTCTCAGGGTTACAGCAGTGCCTTCTGCCTTCTGGAATTGTGGTAGCTGCCAGGATTGTAGTTAGAGTAGGGACTTCTGCTCGCTAGGCTCTCGAGATGGGCCCTGGAAACGCCAGGACAGCCCCTCGGACTCCAGCTCCCTGCAGAACCTCGTGGAAGGAACACAGAGCCTGGAAGCCTGGCGTGAACCAGGCTGGTGGGCAGCGTTTGCAAATAAATTTGATTTAAAAATGAATAGAATAAGAAGAAGGAAATGAATGCCAGCCTTCAGCTCTAGCCTGCCACCCCAGCAGCCCCCAGCCCGTGGTGGCATCATGCTCCCCGGCAGGAGCGGGATTTAAGAGGAGAGTCCACTTTTGGGTGCTGATACTTCAGACCTGAGCTAGTCCAGTACTGGGAGCAAGGCCACACTAGACCACCTTTTGGAGCACTTTTTTTTCGTTCTTTGGGGCTGACAAGCACTTTAAGGAGATTTTAGGAGGCTGTTAGGAATCTTTTTAGGTTTCTGGAATATGATGCTGGTGGAACTTTAATGCATCGTGGCTGTTGACATTGACTGTGGAAATGACACCTGCTGAGGGCCCGCTGTGCACGGGGTAGGAGAGGGCTTAGCAGTGTGGACTCTGGAAAGCTCGGCTGTCTTATATTGGACAGTTATGTGGACCTGGGCAAGCTGGCTGGCCTTTGTGTGCCTCAGTTTCCCCACATAGGGACTGCCTGTATACCTACGCAAATGGTTGTGGTGAAGCTGAAATAATCCGTAGCAGGTATGGGCTGACTTGTGACTACTCTCCTTCCCCTTCTTCTCTCCATGAACCCTCCCATGAGAGGCGCCCCTCTCCCCAGGTATCTACCCTCTGTAGGGCATGCGCCCCCCAAGCCTCCGGAGCCCTGAGCACCCTGCTGCCCCCAGTATCTCTGCTCTGGCTTTCTCTCCGGGGTGGGGGTGTGCCATGGGACCACACTGGCCAGGGACTGACTCTATTTATCGAGGTGGAAGATGTACGGGATACAAGTTTGGAAATGTGGCTTGAACGTGTCGTCGTCCAAAGATCCTCATGTTGTTGCTTCTTGTGGCAGTAAGAAGGACCAGACCTTTGGGTGCCCATAAATCCCAACCTGGCCAGTCCAGGGAGCTGTCGGACCCATTTCCTGTCTTCAGACACCTCGCAGGGAGGGAGCATGAGGAAGCTGTGGTGTGGCTCCGCTGAGCTGGTCGTCCGGGCCTGGCTTTTTCCACCTAAGCCGGGCTCCAGCAGGGAGGGCCAGGGGGTTCCTCTTGCCCTGGGCTGGCCAGGCTGGGCGGGCGAGTTAGTACTCACGCTGGATGTCGATGGTGACCGATGTCTCCTTCCCTCCGGGGATGGCTTTGTTGGTGGCTCGGCACACGATACTCTGGCCATTTTCCACATCGCCAGGGGAGATGAAGAGGGTGCTCACGATGCTCTCACGCTTGCCATCTCGAAGCAGGGTCTGGGGGAGCAGGGAGAGAAGGCCCCATGTCACTTGGCTGGGACAAGACGGGGGTTAGGGAAGACATGCCCCGGCCTCCGAGAAGAAGCCCTCAGCTCAGGACACCCAGGGGTGCAAGTCTCTGCGGGGCGGGGGTGGGGGGGAGTCTCTCGTGGTTCCCTCACCTGGCTGAGCCCTGGGCTGCAGCAGGAAAAAGGAACTAGAAGGTCTTCCATCATGTGGGAAAACCAGCCTGGACTTGTATGCCCCAGAGGGAATCCGGCTGCAGGTCTCTTCTGGTGTCTGGGGTAGCCTCTGGGTCTGCAGGCAGCACTGAGATGCGTGCAGCCCCGGGGTGCTGGGGCCCCCAAGGCAGCGAAGGGCTGGGGATGCAGGCAGAGTCAACGCTCTCTGACCCTGTATTGCTTTATCTATGGAAACCCTTCCAACTTTTCAAGTCATTTCACTTTCTGACCCCATTAGAGCCTTGACCAATTGTAGGCAGAAGATGCCATTATCTTCCATGTGACAGATGAGAAAACGGGCAAGACCAGGAGAGGCTACGAGCTCTACCAAAGCTACGCTTCAGGTTGGAGGTGGGTTAAGTAAGAGGGTCCTACAGTGGACTGAAGAGCGACCCCCCAAACTTCATGTCCTCTTGGAGTCTCACAGTGTCACCTGATCTGGAAACAGGGTCTTCAGAGGTCGGCTAAGTAATTAGGAAGGAGTTAGGGTTGGCCAGACAAGACCATCCTGGATTAGGGGGGAGGGCAGTTCTGATGACTGGTGTCTCTAGAGGAAGAGGGGAGGACACACAAAGGAACAAGGAAGAGAGGGTCATGTGAAGACAAGCAGAGCCGGGAGCGATGTGGCCACAAGCCAAGGGACTCTGGGAGCCACCAGAAGGTGGAGGCCACAAGGAAGGACTCTCCCTGGAGGGAGCACAGCCCAATGACACGTGGACTTCAGACTTTTTGGCCTCCACAAAGGAGGACAATACATTTTGGTTGTTTTAGGGACTGGTTGCATGACTTCCTTAGGGCTGCCCTAGGGAGCAAAGGCAAGTCTGAAAGCCTTTGGTTTCCTGCCTTCCATTCCTTCCATTTCCAGTGGGGCCCATGAGGCCACGCTGCAGCCAGGTCCCCATCGTTACTGTGCCCCTTGCAGCTACCTCCCAGTCATTTTGGCGCCCAGCATCCTGAGCTCACCAGTAAGGTAGGTGCTGGGGAGGGGTGTCGGGGGGGGGGGCACTTCCAAGATGGGACTGGACTTGCTCAATACTCAGAGGCTTTTGATCCTGGGAAGCTAGGAACACCCTCCAGAGAAGGGTGCTGGACGCTTGCTCAGAGCCAGATGAATAGACTTCACTCCTCAAAACCTCCCTTAAGATAGTACTGGTACTGTTCGCAGCAGACCCTGACAGGAGGGGAGCATTAGCTCTATTTAGCAGAAAAGAAAACTTAGTTCAAAGTGAGTCAGGAACTTGCCAGGCAGGGCTGGGATTTGCACTTGAGAATGGTGACCCCAGAGGCCGTGACCCTCCCACCACTGCTCCCTGAGAGCTAGACGGTGGTTAGTATGATCTTCACTTAAAGGCGGGAATAGTTTGAGGGATTAAGCAGACTTTTAAGTTCACTGAGCTACTTAGCAGTGCAAAAAAAATGAGACAGCAGGCCCCAAAATGGAGTCACTTATGTTAAGGGCCCCACCTCAGCAAACCAAGACCTGATACCTTGCCTCATGCAGTTGCAAACCTCAGTCCCCCCTTAATGGGGCATTTAAGGGGCCCACCTGGAAGCTCCTGGTCCACACGAGGTCATCCTTCTGTTCCCCCTAAGCGTGACCTTGCCTGAAACAAGGCAAGGTTCTTTGCCAATCATTTCCTTTTCACTCCCCATCTCTGCCTTTTATTTTATTTTATTTTATTTTATTTTATTTTATTTTTGAAGATTTTATTTATTTATTCATGAGACACACAGAGAGGCAGAGACACAGGCAGAGGGAGAAGCAGGCTCCATGCGGGGAGCCTGATCTGGGACTTGATCCCAGGACCCCGGTGTCACGACCTGGGCCAAAGGCAGATGCTCAACCGCTGAGCCACCCAGGTGTCCCTTGCCCCCAACCCCCCGTCTCTGCCTTTAAAAACCTTCCACTTTGTACACCTCCTTGGAGCTCCTTTCTACCTACTAGATGAGATGTCACCTGATTCATGAATCGTTTGATAAAGACAATTAGATCTCCAAATTTACTTAGTGGAATTTTTGTTGCTGAACAGCAGCAACATGTCAGCTGCTGGAACCCTCTCTCCAGGTCCTCAGTTCTGTGTGGTCCTCCTCATCCTGGGCCAAAGCCTGTGGCCTCCGGCACCAGGAGACTGTGACCTGTGCCTCTGTCTAGAACAAGCGCTCCCTGCTGCAGACAAAGCTAGAATCAGAGATGCCAGGGAGAGCCACAGGGCAGAGCAGTAGTCTGGACTATTTCTGCCGCATGTTCTAGAACCACCTGGGCCTGGGCGCGTTCCCACGGCACATTCTTTCCTGGGATGTGGGGTGGTGGCCTCAGCCAGGGGCAGAGGGGTCCTGGAGCGGGCTGGGTGGGGGGTAGTGATGTCAATCCCACCAAGCCAAGTGTCGGGGCTGGGCCATCAGTGGGATGAAGGTCTTCAGATCAGCCTCAGGGCCAGGAGCTCAAGTGAGGGCCAGCCACACAGAGGTGCTGGGTGGGTGGGTGGGTGGGTGGGGTGAGTGTGGTTTAGCCCCAAGCCCAGCTTGAGCAAAGGGACGGACAGCCTAGCACGGAAATGGTTCCAGAGTCTTCAGCAGACTTCATGTGTCTATAAATAGCCAAGCGCTAATAAGAACAATTTCCTGGATGGAAATAAGACCTGGGGTAGGGTGGAGGGAGGGGGAGGTGGGGAGGGAGGTCGGTATCGTATCCTTCTTCCTCACCCCCTTTTCTTTACTTTTACATTGTGCTAACAAGAACATTTACATTAAGTTTGACTCTGCCAGGAACCTCTCCAATTGATCTGCTCTCTGCCTGGTGGAGGGAGCAGGGCTGCCGGGTGCTGGCGGGAGCGGAGGGGGAGGCCCGAGCCCCTAATTAGGCCCTCTGACGGCTTCCCTTCCTCCCGGCGCCCAGGGTGCTCCTGCATCTCCGAATGATGATTAATGACATATTTACTGTGTCCAGGCATGTGCTTTTTCTGGGAAATAAAAATTCTGGTTCAAGTTGTTTGTTCCACCTAATTAGAGAAAAGGGAGATGTGTTCATTAGCGGCGGCCACAGCAGCTGGCTGCCCCCGGGGGAGGCTGAGCGTGTCACGGGGCACCAGCTCCCAGGGATCAGACCCCAGGCGCGTCCCCAAGGAGAGGCCCGTGGGCAGGGACGCCACCTAGGATGTGGGATGTTCCTGGGAGGGACCGGGAGGCGGGCCCACCGGCAGGTGCACAGCTGGGCCCCCGGTGGCCTGAGGCCTGTCTGCGCAGCGGCCGGCGGGCTTGGCCTCCGTCTTCTTCTCAGCATCGGTTTTCTTCTTTCCTCCATCCCTCCTCATCCTCTCTCCTCTTCTCCCTGGTCTTTCCTTCACTCCCGCCTCACAATCTCCCAGTGTCCCCGCCTCTCCTTTGGACCCTGTGGCCTTGAAGGGACAGGCCAGGTGGAACATTCCATCATTCGCTGGTTCTCGTCACAGCCCGCCTCCCCTCCTCTCCCAGCTCCTTCCCCGGGCTTCCCTCCCCTGAACTTGGCTCTAGGGACCCGCCTTGGGCCCCGGCCTCCCTGCTCCTGCTCCGGAAACCTTCATTAGCATGCAAATCAGCTCGGGGAGGGTACTGCGGTGTTCCCGGCAGCCACTCCGTCTGTGGGGCCACCACCTCCAGCACTTGGGGCCGCCCGGGCGCTGCCGATCCCGGTCCGAGTCGCCCAGCCCGGCTCACGTGACCCCAGGGCGGCTCCTGCGGCCCTCCCGGGGCCCAGCCCAGCTGTGCACTTGGAAACGGAGCAGCGGGCAGGTGCACGGGAGTGAGTGTCAGAGCACGAGGCTTCGTGGGTGGGCTTCCACCCCCTGCCTGTGAGTGTGTGTGTGTGTGTGCATGTGTGTGCATGTGTGTGTCCCAGGGCCTCCATCCGCTAGCAGCCCTAAGGAGCTTTCCAGAAGATCCCAGCGGCTGTGTGAGGCGTCTCCAAACCCCTGCCACCGGGCAGCTTCCTGTGTCCCCGGCCCACTGAGCCATCCCTGAGGGCGGGCACTGGGCATTCAGTTGGCAGTGGCCTGGGGGCAGGGCTGGGGGGACGGAGTGTCCCCGGAACGTGGTTGTCCAGTGCGGGTAGCCGTGGCCACTCTGCATTTCCCAGAGCCCGCAGGGCCTCGGCTGGGCAGTGGAGAGGCAGGCTTCACCCCAAGAGGCAGGAGGCCTGGTGATGCCTGCGTGGGACCCACAGGTGAAGGGGTGGAGCAGGGCGTGTTGTGTGGAGGTTGGAGGGGGTGCAGTGGGGGGTGCCCCCACCCCAGTGCTAAATCTGGGAAGCTCATTGATATGCAAATAGCCAAGCAAGCCCTCAAGTGAGGCCTGATTGCCTGGCAACAAGGCCTCCCTCATCTCCCTCCCTTCCTCACCTCCCCCACCTGTGGTCCTTTTTTTTTTTTTTTTAAATCTTCTCTCTGCTTCCCCTTTTTATAGCTGCCTGGGGGGATCTGTTAGGACCTGCTGTCACGTGGCTTGAATGGGGGCTGTAAGGGAAGGTGGAGAAGCCCAATGCCATTTGCCTCCGACTCCACATCCTTGGGACCCCAGAATTGTGCTCTGGGTGAGGTTGGGTGCCCTTCATAAAGAAAGCCAGGATGGGTAGTGGCTGCCATGCTGGGTAGAGACCTAGGCCCTAAGATAAACAGATGAGATGGGGTGGGTGCTGGGGTGACTCATGGGGAGAGAAGACCCAGTGGAAGAGCCTCGTGGAGGGAGCTGGACTCCAGGGAGGGCCTCTAGGGGGTGTTGCTCCAGAGTTCCCCCTAGCATATG